TTTTGGACGAAAAAAAACTACCTATCAAAAAAATTTGTATAGCGTAAAAGTCAAATTTAGTGATTACCACAGCCACTGTGACATAAACAGTGACATAAACAAAAGACATGGCGGTAGCTGTCATGGAATCGAGCGATTAAAAAATTATCATAAATCATTTTTTTCAAATTGAAACCCACTTTTTTTTTCGCTAATGAAAAGGTTTTTCAATTCGTTTCTTTTTAACTATACATGTTCCTATACCTAAAATAAATAGTTTTTAAGTTATTTAAGATTTAATTTGAAAACGTATATTTTTTTTAATTTTATCTAGATTCCTTTGACATTAAGTGTCAAACGGTCAGACAATTTATTTCCATATGTCTATTTCCAATTTTCTATATCTATATTTCTCTATCTATTTCCTCTATCTGTAGAAATATCCTATATTATGTTATATACTGCCTGCCTTAAGAGTTTAACAGCGCTTTCACATGCGACGGACCGTCCGCGACGGAGCGTCCGTGACCTCGAGTAAGTACCATGAGTTTATATGAACAATTTCACATGGGCGCGTATGCTCCGTCCGACGGAATTTGTTCGACGGCTATCTTGAAAATACACGACGGACGGTCCGTCGTATGTGAAAACGCTGTAAAAAGTATATTTATAAAAAAATATATCTCGTATTTTCGCTCTTTAGTGATATCCTGTAATATTCCGTATGATAAAAAAAAACAGCGCAAAGTTAGCTCGGAAACGATGCTGCTTTTCGAACAAAGCGTCACAATATGACATGATCAGATCTATTGCTTTACATCACTTGACGTTTAAAGTCATAGCACAGAATATCTAGCTACGCAACAGAAGCCTCGTTACATGTAAAAAATCGTAGGTCTCAAAAGGAGACAGGCTTTTAAAGCCTGTCTCCAAATCAGATATTTTGATGCGGTAGTTTCACTACTACATAACAGAGGGCGATAAATTTAAGAGAAAACAGTTTTCTACAAACGAAATTTAAAAGAATTTTATGCAGTGTTGCCATTGTGTAATTTATAGTGTAATACTTCCTGATAAAGCCTACGTTCAAATTTGCTACATCATTTAAATATATTAAAATAGATTAGAGCTCTTTTTTCAAACGTTTAAATATTTAACTTGCCATGTTAGTTGGAGTTAAATTTTACGAGCTGAATTAAAATTACTTCCTGGCGTTTGATTCTAACTGAATCCTAAATTTTGATTGTAATTCGGCGACAATATAATAAGTATTGTTCTACTATTATGACACCACTTCCTGACGTTCGATTGTGTTCATATCGTATGATCGGGAAAAAACGGCGTTAGCGATGGCTATGAAATGAAAATCGCTGTCATTTTATGTGTAAATTTATATGGGAAATGTCATCGATCGTCTTTTCCCAGCCAACTGGACGCCGTTTTTTTCGGTATCATACGGTATTTGATATATACTTGCGTATTTTTCATGACATTGCAATATTATGGTACCATGAAGCATATCAAGTGATATACCGTAATATAGTGATATAGCATATCAAGTGGCGTTCGATTGGGCTTTAACTTGGTATATTACGTATCTTCAGTGACATTATAATATTATGGTACCATGAAGCATATCAAGAGGTACCATAATAGTACATAGAGGTACCATATACGATAGAGGTACCATATACGATACCATTTCCTGGCGTGCGATTGGACTTATACTTGGTATAGTAAGTATCTTCGGTGACATTGTAATATGATGGTACTATGATGCATCTACTATGATGCATATATAAAATGGTACCTTAATATAGTACCATATTACGATACCACTTCCTGACGTTCGATTGGGCTCATATTTGATTATACTTGCGTATTTTTGATGACATTGCAATATTATGGTACCATGAAGCATATCAAGGGGTACCATAATGTAGTACCATATTACGATACCATTTCCTGGCGTTTGATTGGGCCCAAATTTGATATACTTGTGTTTCTTTATAAAGATTTTTTTAATTAATAATTTTAATTTATTGTACGATGTCGTGACAGCAACTTTTATGCCGAACTAATATATTATTAATTGTACCTGTGTCACTTTTTAAAATCTACCTAGGTATATATAAATAACATGGCAAACAGAAAAAATTTGTTATTATAGTATTTTTTTTACTCAATTAACATTCTTTGTACTGCATTTTAATAAATCATTTCCATTATTATTAAACGTATATTTCATTACTAACGTTTCAGCATTAATAAATATCACTATCAATCACCCTGTATATTATTAATTTTAAAGGTAATTAAAGTTATTTTCTTAGTTAACATAATAAAGTAGTGTATATTAAAAAATATGTATTTTGAGAGCATATGTTTTCTAATTTATTTTTTTATTTTTATTAATTTATTCTAATTTTAAAAGCCAAACGAATAATTAATATAAGCGTATCTGACAACAAACGAAGAATAGAAAAAAAAAATATTATACACCAGAAAAAGAATGGGATGCCAATTAAAGTCTGTTTGAATCAGGCAACTGTGCATATTTTGCCGAGCTTCAAGGCCGTCGACGTACAGTCGATCCAGTTTGTTGAAAAAGTTGAAAATTTCCAATTATATTCTGATTATGATATTGTAGCGCCATCTAGTATTTTATTTGTGCAATTTTAGCTCTTTCATTTCGAGTATTTTTCTGTTGCGTAGCTAGATATTCTGTGGTCATAGGCTACTGGTTAAAATCAAGGAAAATATACGCTTTAAAACTAAATCTTATTAACTTAAAAACGATTTATCTTAGGTATAGGAACATGTATAATGTATAGTCAAAAAGTAACGAAATTCTAGCCTTTTCACTAGTGAAATAAAAAAGGGTGTTTCCATTTGAGAAAAAAATATTTATGATAATTTTTTAAACGCTCAATTCCATGACAGCTGCGGCCATTATTATGTGACATTGGAACAATTTAATATTTGAAATAGATAGCCATATGTTTTTTCTTTACGGCACAGTGGCTGTGGTAATCACTAAATTTGACTTTAGGCTGTACACATATTTTTGACAGGCAGTTTTTTTCGTTCAAAAAATTTTAAATATTTTTTTTCTCAAAAACGGTCAATGTTAGATATAGAGTGTTGATATCAAACTTCATAAAATTTTCGAGAGAATTTAAATATGTAATAAAAAATGGGGGCGGCCATTTAATATAAGAAAGTTGTAGACAACTTCCGGTATTTCCGGAAGTGCCGCCATATCGAAAATATTTTTAATCGATAGATCTCATTGTGAAACTATGACGTGCAAAAAATCTCCGAGCTAGATGTTGTAGTTCTCTAGAAACTTCTAATACACGCTCAGCCTGGGACACCCCGTCTATCAGGCGTCTAAATACAAAAAAATGCAAAAAAGTCCACATCGAAATAAATTTTACGCAATACACAAAAAATGAGTTAAAATATTATGAATATTAAAAAGAATAATAAACCGAAAGTACTGAATTTATCCAGTGCAGTATTTTTTGCAAATATCTCGCATAAAAATGTAATTCAGAGAGTTTTTCTTGGGATAACGAATTAAAAGGTGTATAGAACTCAGTTTTCAAAAATGTGTGCCTTGTCGGGTTTTGCATTTTATTTTTTTTTTATTTGGGAGAACTAATACACATTTCGGAATATCTACTACCAGAGATCAATAGGAGAATTAAGTTAGCATGAGTACCTACTTATAAGTCAATCGTATTCAAATCTAGAATGCCCCTCTATCTAAAGAAGAAAACAGTCCACCAATGTGTACTACCAGTCATGACCTATGCATGCGAAAGCTAGACACTTAAAACGGACATCATAAGGAAAATGCAGGTCGCATAAAGCTCGCATAAAATAAACAAAATAAAAATGAATAATCAGATTTCAAGCCCAAACGATGATAAATGACCGAAAATAATATTCATCAGAGGAAGACAGATACGATTTGAAACGACCCAAAATTAATTTACAAAAAGCGTTAATAAATATTAGGTCTTTATTAATGAAAAGCTTGACGAATGGCGCTTTAAATTTTATAGACATGTATATATTTTTCCGGAAAAATAAAAGGAAAAAATGAATATTAATGGCGAACGACAAGGACGGAATGGTTTAGTAAAAGTGATTGAGCCAGAGAGATTAGTACGTCAAACTTAGGATTTTTAATGATGAAAAATTACTTTTTTGCTGGAAGGTTAATACTCTTGTGGGGATTTTAGAATTTTTTGGATATTTCTTTAGTTTAAATTTTTATGAATCTTTAGTTCATTTAAATTTGTTTAGTCTGATATGTATTTTTGTATTTATTGATGGCAATATTTTGTTTTAGAAAAATACATAAAAATATTGTATATACTGGGTGAGTCTTAAGTAAGTGGAAATTTAGGCATAGTATATTTCTATGTGCCCGGTGGCGTAGGGGTACAGCTCGTCTACCAATCCAAAGGTTGTGGGTTCGAATCCTACAGCCGGCATTTCATAAGCCGACTATTTTTATTAAAAATAAAAAACTGTCTGAAAACAAAGAAAAGACATTAAATATTTAGTATCACCATAAGGCTGAATTACAAACACCATAAGGCTACAAACAAACAATTACATCTTATATTAAATAAAAAAATAAACGTATTTTCGTAGTGCTGCCTATATTTAGATTTTTTTCGCAGAAGTTTTATTAAAAAGAATAAAAAATCAACAAATGATCTTTTTCATAATAACTATCATATTTAATATTGAATTTCGATATTGGATACATCTTGTGTATTTGAAAAAAAAAATCTAGCTAGATTTTGCCACTGCTTTGGAAGAAAATCTTCCAAATAAAAAAGTTATCTTTTGTAAACATCACTGCGTCGAAACGAAATAGTAACCAGCTTGTCTGTGGCTTCTTACCAGTAAAACAAATGTATAAAAAATTGACCTAGGTCACAAAAAGGTTCTGAGTCGTTGTTATAGATATTATTTACATTTTCTGTTGTTTTTTGCAGATAAACGGTCGCCATCGACGTGATTCCAGACTTCGCAGACGTCATCTCGTCAACAAATCGGGAAGAAATGACACCATAGCGTATTTGTTCCGAAGACGGGTGTCGAAACGTCGTGTGCGTCGTCATCATCACGGCGAAGAACTGGACTTGAAAATAAGCATGGCCCAGACCAGGCACAGAATCAGGATTTTGAAAATACAACCTTCTGTTAAGGTAAGGCGTTTTAAATACAGATACCATGTTTTGGCACAACATAGCAATAGGTATATATATTTGGCAATATGCATATTAGCAAAATGTAAAGGGACCATTTGTTTATTTACAGTATGATTGAGTACAGACCTATTCGAGTCCTTTTATCAGAGTTTTACAGTGTCATTGGCGTACTTTTATTATTAATGAATTAATAGTGGAAACTAAACGTACAAGATATCATAAAATATGATATCTACAGAAAAAAGATTACAGTATATGATACGATTCATTATATATGTAATGTATATGATAATAATACACAGGCGGATTTCAACTATAAAAATGTTCAATTCATGATTTTACCAATGCTTATTTTTTTATATCATGTTTTTGTCAATTTTAGACATATTTTATGTTTTATCTCGAAAACTATAAGTGATAGATAAGGGTATAGGTTAGTATAACAGAAAAATTATAAGATATGAAGGTAGTTTTCAAAAATATAATAATATACTAGGTGTTCTATTTAAAATAACAAAGATAAGGCATCAAACTTTAAAAAATAAACACATTTTTTCAGATATTTTAAAAACAGCTATTCCGATCTGAATGAGATTTTGGGTGTCTATGTTTTGCTAAGTGCTTTAACATTTGGCTTTCACAAAAATTAAGAAAAGGTTAGTGAAGGGTGAAAACTACCCCCACACCTAAGAAAAGTTGAAGGTTTGGTGCAAATATCTTTAGATTATAAGTTATTCTCTGAGTTATTCTATTTATTGTTTTTATTTGCCCTTTTGCGAGCTAAGATATTTGCCCATGCACAGTCGAAAAGTGTTAGTTCATTCAACAAGGCCTTTTCTCACACTGAACCACAAACATCGACACGATTGGACAATAAACGATTGAATTTAAATTAAATTTAAATTAAATTTAAATTAAATTTAAATTAAATTTAAATTAAATTTAAATTAAATTTAAATTAAATTTAAATTAAATTTAAATTAAATTTAAATTAAATTTAAATTAAATTTAAATTAAATTTAAATTAAATTAAATTTAAATTAAATTTAAATTAAATTTAAATTAAATTTAAATTAAATTTAAATTAAATTTAAATTAAATTTAAATTAAATTTAAATTAAATTTAAATTAAATTTAAATTAAATTTAAATTAAATTAGTTCCGCTTCAACGTATCCAGGATTGTTCTCTATGATGTCAGTTAGGGCTGGGCCGATGGTATTTTCCAGTAAATCCAAGTACATATCACCTGCTAGATTTCCTAGATACCAGCCCACACGTTCAGTTTTTGAGGGTTTTGGGTGTGCACCTCGTGAAAAACCCTGGGGTTGTCTTCAGCCCAATACCGACAGTTATGCCGATTAACTACACCGTTCAAAAAGAAAGTACACTCATCCGAAAAACACACATTAAATAGGAAATTATTATTATCATTCGCCACACGTTCACTCATAGTTTCACAAAATTGCAAACGACGATCATGATCGTCTTCGTTGAGTTCTTGTACCAACTGAATTTTGTACGGGTGGAACTTGTGTTTTTTAATATCTTTTAGACACTTGTACGATTCACGCCGGTTTCATTGGCTAATTTTCTTGTACTCAGCGTACTATCCATGGCAACTTCGCCCAATACGAATACCGGCTCAAGTTTCGTTTAGCCGAAATCAGTTACATAGAATATCGGTTTATAGGATGATTCTATACAAGAAAACTAGCACTACATAATTTGATTTTTGCCGTGGAAATTCTTTGTTTTTGAGAAAACTCGAATTTTTAATTTTTCTATTATTAACTAAAATTTGAAACTTTACGGTATTTTTAAAAGTTTTTTCATTATAGATTGACGTAAAAACATTTAATTCAACGATGTGAACTAATTTTTATTCAAAAATATATTTTTATCACAATAATTTTCATTGATTTTTCCGGGTTTAGAAGTGCCGAAATGTGATAGGAAGATAAAAACTACATATTTTTGTTTGATTAATAATTTGCTATAACTTTTCTATATAACTATTGCCGCGGAAATGTGGGAAAAGGGCGGTGTAATGGAAAATCTTCAATATTTCGAAGTTTTCCATAGTATTCTCTACTTTTTTGCATACTTTCGGTTTGGTTTGGTTTGGTTGTTTTTATTGGATTTGGGTGTAGTGGGTTTAGTTGGCTTGGTTTGATTTGGTTGTTTTTTAGGGTTTGGTTTGGTTTAGTTGTCGTTTTTATGCTTTATTGACAATTTTTTCTAAATTTTCGCATTTATTGACCATAGCGATATTAAGTTGATAAGAATAGATATTATTCATTGATCTGTGTCAAAGGTCGGGAAGAAGATCACTGCATAGTGGTGAAAAAAGGCATTTCCGCGGATTTTCATTTTTGTATCGGTGCTTAAAAATAAGTCTACATTATAAAGTAATATTAATTTTTTATATATCTCATTTCGTTACTTCTAAACTCTATTCAAAAAAATGGCAACATCGCATTTCCGCGGAAGTTCATTTTCGTATTCGTATTTACAAAGACGTCTAACATATGGAATAACATTAATTTTTCATGTATGTCTTTTCGTTACTTTTAAACCGCATTCAAAAAATGGTGACGCATTTCCGCTGCAAATTTTTTCCAGTAATGTACTCCCTGAGGTACCTAAATGACAAAAAATTGTTTTTTTCTTTTTTAACAGATTTCGGCTAAACGAAACTTGACCCCGAATACCTCCATAGCTTCATTTACTACAGGATTTTCCCTCTGCCTCTTTTTATTCATAACGGAACCAGTTTCGCGAAATTTTGCTACTAACTCGCGAACAATTTTGCCATAAAGGTGTTTGTCAGGATGGCGTTCATTGAATATCTGCGCAGCCCGATTGCCACATTCATTATTTTTAAAATAAAGTTCGATTATTTCCACTCTTTCTACAAGTGAGTACACCATAATTGTTAAAAAGTTTAACGATATTGAAAAGAACTTCAACCGCTTCAACGCACAAGTCACAAAAGAGCTATCAACCTTCTGGCAAGGGAAAAAATGCGTAAACATCTAGAAATAATAAGAAAAAACTGCAAATTGGTCGAAGGAATTTATCCTTATCGTTACTCTGATAAATGTTTAAATAAAATTTTTAAATTTCAATCCTTCATATTTTCTCAATGACTCGACCGATTTTCAGAAACGAAGCGGGAAAGTATAGAGAATAGAAAGCTCTTTTCATTGCGGTACCACTTGACCCCCCTTCCCATTTGAAAAAAATTGGGGGATGACACCCCCGCTTAGAGGGTTGAACATTTTGCAATCATTTTTGGGGCAAAAGTTGTCCCCCTCACAAACAAAATTGACGTGTTTTCTGAAAAAAAATTACCCTGGGCGTTATGCCTTGCGGAACGTTTTCGATGGGCCACCCTGTATTATGCTTTACTTAACACTAGTGAAATAATGAGAAAACATTTTCTTTACCTTTAATAACATTCTTTGTCACAAAACTTAGGAACCAAAATAACATCAATACGTCTCGAATGGTAGTCTAAAAGCTATTACTTAATATTATAAGTAGGTATTATCTCTCTTTGTCGTCCTAGTCCCTAGTTTGTGAATAATATTTTAAAAATCAATAATTTTATTTATGTATACAGGATGTCTTAAAATTAATGTTTTGAATTTAAAGAAATATGTTTATTTTTAAATAGCAGGTTCATCTCTGTATAGAGGTAAATTGTGTCCAATGAACTTATGTTGATTCCAAAAATACGTAGTAGTTCTATGTCCACGGAATATTGGGACACCCTGTATATGGCAGTGTACTTAATAAAAATAATATTATTTATTCTTACAGAAACCAATGGTGTACGAAATAGTCAAAGGCAACGAACACAACAAATTCCAGCTAATCAAAAAGCACGGCGTTTGGGCCCTACACTTCAAACGACGTTTAAAAATGCCTGAAGACTTCGAACTATTGATCCATGGCAAACCTGAAGAGGATGAATTCGAAAGAAATGAAACGTCCGAGGTCACAGACAAACCCTACGAAAAACCGTTAATTCTAAAGGTGAAAATCAAGGTCACCGAATAATATTTTAAAACGAATTTTACTCTAGCTAATTTATTTCAAATTTCAACGAAAATTTTAAGTGATATGTAGTCATTCAATTTCTAAGTTATATCACTGCCAACATAGAAAAATATATTTTATCAAATATTCGGCAATTTAAACCTTTTTTTATATAAAAGATAATAAAATATTAAAAAAATAAAATGACATAAATCACTAACAAAATAAAAAAAGTCGAATATTTTTTATACTAATATATAACTGCCATATTAAGCTTTTTTTGTTAATTTAATAATTCGAATAATAGATGTGTTCAAGTAGATTTTACTTTATTTTATGCATTTATATTATATATTATTGTATTTAGTTAGAATATTGTAAGAGTATTTCATAAGAATTTAACTTTGATTCTATTTATCTCTGATATTTTGTAAATTAAGATTTTGCTATTGATTATTATATTGTTGTTAATAATTATAGAGCACTGTACAAAATGATCATTCGTAAGTTACCTAAATTTTTATTAAATGGAAACATATTTGACTAAATTGTAAAAAATGCTTTTAATTTTTAATAAAGAGTTAGTACACAACAGCATATTTTATTTTTATCACTAGACATTTAAGCTTACATACACAGGGTGACTTTTAAAGAAGTGCAGATATATTTAGGAGTTATTTTACTTTTAAAATTTAAAAAAATATAATTTTTTTGTTTTAATTTTGAAAACCACTGGAGTTTTCTTTCTTGTAAATCTACTCTACAACCTATATTGCCAAATTATCAAGATATATTTTTTAACTAAAAATAAAAAAAAAATCCATATAATTTTTTTTTCGAAAAATACTGAATTTTCAAAAATTTATTTTTTAGAAAACAAACTTAATAGACGTGTTTCTGGGGTCGAAATATACCACCCCTAAAATATTTGCACTTATTTAAGACTCACACTGTCTAAGTATTGATTGAAAATTATAAAATAACTCTCAAAACAAAAAATAGAAAAAGTTAACATTACGTGTAAAATACAGTTTAATAATGAATAGTTTCTTTCACAAAACTCAAAATATCAACAGTATGTCTCCCGATTGTTCTTACAAGAGCAAACATTTTTTTCTTATTTCATTTTGAGAAAAATTCATTCTTCATAAAAAATTTTGCTTGTTCTGTAATAGTAGATCTCGTTTATACTTCTTCAAATTTCCATACCTTTTTAGAGAAAATAAAAAAAAACATGGAAATATAATTTAATTTTTAAAGTACCATCAAAACGCCTTTCTATGGTAATGCATTTTTGTTTGAGAGTTATTGATAGAATTTTAATTAACGTCATATTTTTGTTGTTTTAAAATGTTAAAAAAGCATAAACTTTATTTAGTTCAATTCTACGGAAAGGGTAATAATAGTTTTTTTAGAAAATGTAAAACTTCAACCACAGCAAAAAAAAAATGTGACGTTAATCAAAATTAATAATAATCATCTCTATCAAAGAATGAAATCGGAATTATATCACCATAGAAACGCCTTTTTAGGAAAAATTCAATCACATTTTCATGGATTTTCAAATTTTCTCTTAAACGGTATGGAAATTTCGAAAAGCGTAAACTGGATTAATTATTGAGACCAAGAACGAGCAAACATTTTTATGAAGAATAATATATTTTTCTCAAAATATCAACAATAAAAAAGTTTTCCTCTTGTAAAGACAATCCGGAGACATAGTATTAGAAACACTGACTATAGAATTTTACTTACTTCGGTATCGAATAAAGACTTACTTCGGTATTGAAAATATATCTTATTCGTTTGTATATAGATTAAAAAATAAAAAAAAATCTGTAGTAGTTTAAAACATTTATTTTATTTAATATATACCATAAAAAAAACAGAATAAATCTTTAAGATTGACGGGGTTTAAATGTTCTATTCTCAAAGACTATAGATATATCTTGCACCCTCATATTTGGAGTTAGAAATTGCTGTAAAGTATCCACTCCATCTCTGGGCATCCTGTCAAATGGATATCCCATAGACCTTTTATCTGGGTAGAGTTTATCTTTAAGACCACAATAAGAATATGAGTCGTTGCACTGTCCAGAAACATCCTGCTGTATTAGATCATCGTTCACATTGGAAATCATTACAAATAATTGACATTTGTAACCGTCCACAGTTCCTTTGGGTATCAAGAGATTATCAGGCCATCCACATCCACAGAAATTAAACTGAGCCAGCTGATTTCCTCCTTGAGGCCTAGAAGCATCTAAGTCCCTGTAAGTTCTTTCGAACGGTATAGTGACAGAAGATTGTTCAGAAGTACGAACTATAGTGTTGGGTCCTTGTCTCAAATTCACCATGAACTTATCAAGTTCAATAAAGTGAAGTCTCTGATCTCTAAACAACCACGGATTACCTCGTTCGTCGAATTTCGGTCCAAGGAATATTCGACAGGTTGCTTGTCTAGGTGCGTCGCTCATTACAGCAATGTTATACATAAAAGGTCTGTGCTGGAGGTGAGTGAACCTAACAAAAACAGCTCCTCTAGGTTGGAAGTCCATACCTCTGGAAAGATCCACGTCAGATTGTTGCCAGAAAGTTTGTAAAATATTTGGATGACCTCCTTGGGTCTGAACCTCGACCTCCACGACAGTTACTCCAGGGTTATTAAGTTGATTTACTGTGTATCTTGGAAGGGTTGCTTTAAATTCTTGAAACATGTCGTCAACAAAGGCGTGCCACCGGTAGAATACTGGATCCCTCATTGCTGTTGCTGAATCTCCCATAACACCAAAGGATTCAAGATGACGATGATCAGGATCGTGAATATAAGAAAGCATGATATGTCCGGTATTGTGCATGTCGCCATAAAAGTCTCTATTGATGGATAGAATACTAGATTCGATCATATTACCAAGAATATCAATACCTTCAAATTCAGTTAATGGAACATCCCGTCCGTTTCTATCTCTAGCCACTCCAGCATGTATGGCTGCATATATTCTATCCCTCCATCTTCTCATGTCATCAATGTCAACAATAACACCGTCTATCTCCCTGCGAACATCCGAGAGTCTTTGATTTTTAACTCTAGCAGGCCATGACCTACTAGCTACCAAACTGTCAAGCTTAGGAAAGTAAGCTTCTCTAATTGGTTCGTCCCAATTAATGAGGCGTTCTACTCTCTTCATTTTGTTACAGAAACGCTCAACATTGTACCTAGCCACGATCTGTTGGTGCATATAGTAAAATAACTCACCTCTACGGTTTTTGTTTACTACAGTGAGAGCACCTTCGAAGGGATAAACCAAATGCCAGTGCCAATGGTGGAGGTTTACACCGATGTCTTCTCTGAAATAAGCTAATTGGTGTTCCTCTTCTAAGTCAGAAGCTGTAAAGTCCTTGGGAATTTCGATGGGCATTCTGGAGCCTTCGGGAACGATGTTGGCTTCCTCACGCGCTTTTTCAAACACTTTACTGTCAACGTACTTGTCAGGAAACGATGTTATGATTGATGGAACATCGAGGTCTTGAGTATCTTCTCGATGAAGTAATGCAACGGATAGAGCATAGTTGAATAAGTAAGGGTTCACTCTATCCCTGGCATAGGCAGCTACAGAAAGCAAGTCTTCTACATTTCGAACTCCCAGGAATATATCAATCATCCTTCCGGCGTAGGTACGGTGTTTGGGAAGAAATAAAGAAAAGTTTTCATCACGAGCCAGTTCAAGAATCTCAGTTAGAGGTGGAATGGAAATTCTGGTAATTTGAATGACTTCATTGGCTTCTTCACCAAATCTGTTGGACAGTTGAGCTCCTAAAGGACGGTATCTGTCACTAAAGTACTCGGCAGGGACGTCAAAACCTTTTCTTTCGTCACCCTTAGGGATGAAAATTGGTTCCTTAGGTCTGTCGTAGAGCAGCAGGATGTTATTCTTGTTGAACGCCATTGAAGAACTTTAAAATTCGAAATGAAAGAGTTTACTGAGTGGATTGATTGACTTCAGGTGATTTTATAGTGAAATTTTCGGATGTTTGTACCGCAAAATATTTTAAAAATTTGGTGGTTTTATTGATTACAAAAATTCTGTGTTGTAAACAAATTGCTTTTGAGATTTCAAAGCACTTAAAAAATGTTAATTTTTAAATATTAATAACAGATTAATTTAATGTTATTATTGACAAGTATTATGGACTAGAAATAATAGGAAATTGTTATGCAAATTTGTGATTTAAATGCATATATAAGTTATGTGATTATAGTTATCGAATTTATTGATAAGTCTTTTATAACTTTAATAAACAATGTTGAAAAATATGTTTATTCAAAAAGTGTGGGACAGTAAAACCACAATAAATTTTATTTAATTTAAAAATACCTGATATATCGTGGGAAAAAGTTTTATAATAATGTTTTTTTATTACTAATAAAAAAAGATTAAAATAGACCATTTTTAATCAAAATTTTTGTCGTTTTTAAACATATTATTTTATTATTTGTTTTAGCTTATTTCTTTTTGTTGTATATTTACTAAACAATTTTAATATGCAAAAACTGTAATAAAGCTGAAACATAAATATCTTAAACACTGGCACTTCTTTTTAAAACTATCTGTATAAGGTGTCTCATTTTGTTTCTCTGAATATATTATTCTTATCTTAGGGTTCCGTACTTCTAAAAGAAAAAACGAAACCTTTATATAATCACTTTGTTGTCGCTCAGTCTTTCCGTCTGTCTCTCTGTCAAGACCTTTAATCATTCTATAATGACGGATATACAAACGAGATTTCAAACAAAATGGGACACCCTGTACAACACTCTAAATAATTGTTTTAAAAAACTCGGAAATATTCTTTTGTATAAAGGTAAAATACGATCTTAAGATTTTTATTTCTCAGAATATCATTGACATTTCATTTTCTTGGGTTTGTAAACGACTACAGCTCTAGATTTTCCATGAAATGAAACAGCAGCAAGAATATCTGAAAAAATAATTGTTTTTAATATTTTTTATATATGATCGAAAAAAATCGGTGTCATAGACGGCTGGGGAATGACAATTAATGATAATTTTAGCGATGTCAATCTCTAGACGCCATTCACTAAAAATTATCATTAAATTTGTCAAAAATTTACACTAATTATAGAAAGATTATAAAAGGATACAACGTTTCCAGATACATAAATCTATTTAAAAAAAAAAATTCTGGAATTACAAATTACACCACTTAAAAATCATTTTTTACTCAATATAAAAATAAATTACAACATTTTTGAGGCTAACTGACAGTAAGCTTAGAGTGCGGGCGAAGTAATGACGTCTAGGGCTTGACCTCCCCAAATTTATCATCGATTGACTTTCCCAGCCGTCTTCGACGCCGTTTTTTTTCGATCGTATGGTATTATCTAATAATTATAATTTACAATTATTCAATGAATAGTAATAAAATATATAAAGCATTTTATGATATTTTTTAATCTTACCGTCACCAAAAGTGTACTTAAAACAGATTTTCGCTAGGTTTATATAGGGTGACTCAAAAAACAGGCACCATAACAATCCCACTGCGAAAATAAAAGGTAAGTCACCTAAAAAGGCATGGAACTACAAAGAATAAAACAATTAAAACTGTCTATAAATCGATATTTATAACGAACTTACTGATTTGAAGTTGTTATTTGATGTAACAGACCTCTTATTACCATCTATCATAGAAATGACAGACAAATGAATTAGAAAGATGCTGTAGGATATTCGAGTCAATATTTTGAATAAGCTCAACGATAGAAAATTGTTAAGAATACCTACAAAGAATTAAAGGATCTATGTAAATTAAAAGTTATTTAAAATAGAAGTAAAAAATAAGTTTTGATTTCGACAGACGATGACAGAAGGAAAGCAGATAGAGTCTAAACTAAATCTATTCAGAAAAAAAGAAGTATTTTTTAATAGATTTAAAAAAAAAACATTTTTTAAGGTAACTATGGCCGAGTTTATACAGGGTCGCTGTTATGTATGGAAACAGTCGATTATTAGGTAAAATATAGGAGGTACCACAAAAAGTTAAATACAAAAGTTATAGGATTTTTAAATATCTATTAGCGAGTAATAAATTTAAGTATACAGGATCGGTCATAAAGTCGTGACACATAAAAGTTTCATTTTTTTCAATAGAACCCCCTGTATATTATTGCATATTTCAATTCTTCCTTCAATTCTAAGCAAAAATCGAAATACAAACAATATTTCTGAAACCAACCGTTTCCCAGTTATTGACTTGAATTGAAAATATCACTTAAACAATTTGATTTAGTCAATTTCGATATGTTCAGTTTCATTTAACACTGCCATTAGCATTTATAGATGTATAAAATGAGATTATATCAAATCTGGAAATTACAAAATCTTCGTTTAACATTTCAATTCTTCAATTTATGTACTACGATTATTGCTTAAAACTGAAAGAAGAATTGATATATGCAATAATATACAGGGGGTGTTGACGATTATTCTCAGAATACTAATAATAATACTAGAACTAACCTCCCCGTTGTGTACAACAGAAAAATACAATAATACAAACGGACAGTGCCCAAGCAGGACCAGTCAGCGAATTGTACAATGCTGAAGCATGTTCATTATAAGGCTGTCGCGTCATGAGAATGCTGATCCAAGCAATGCCGAACGGCAGAGCGACTGAACATGACCACAGAACTGCGACTAACGGCTGAAATTGTTAAATAATGGTTATTGTAAATTGGAATCTGAAATTATGAGTGACATATGTGACAAATCTAATGTATGAAATCCTAAAAAATAATATACAAGGTGGTCTAAATTGTATTCGGAAAACTTTAGCAGCATATTCTGCAGACAAAAATGAATAATAAAGTTTGTATACAATTATTGTGACCTATTAGTAACTTAAAAAAAATACCATAACGTTACGACACTGATGCTTCCAGATTTTCAGAACTCAAAGAGAGAACTCACCTCTATAAAACCGTCAAAGCAGGAACAGGGATAGGAATATTAAGGCCAAAAACTAGATACTCCTAACTAAAAGGCACTTACCCCAGCATCCTTCAAGCAGAAATATACGCTATCGAAAAATGAGTACAACTTAGATATGAACTATAGGTAAACCAACATAAAGCGGAACTCAAGAACTTGTAGGACTCTATACTGTAGTAGTATAACTTAGAATGAGAATCATCCAACAACGGTCTGAGACACTCGAAGAAATTTCTCAGAACTTACGACCGAGAAAATTCAGTGATTTTTCTTGATTTAGGTAAGAACATTTTTCGAAGTGTCAGAGTTAATTTATCTGCCTCCTCAACGTACACCTTAACAGATTGAAACAAAAAACAACGGCGAATGCAGATCCTGTGATCCCTACATCACTGAGTGCACCGAGACGACAATCATTGGTACCATAAACCTTGGTACAACTGATATCAGAGATGGAGAACTCACCTCTATAAAACCGTCATAGATACTGGCTTATGTCAAAGCCCTGAGACTGTATGATGAGTTATAACTCAGGAAGGGTAGACAAAATACACACACCGGAAAAGTCTAGGGATATTACAATTTTATCCAGCCATCGTCAGTAATTTTATTATTTGCATTTCTGATATAATAAAATTAAAATAAACAAATAGTTTACAAGACGTATTGGAAATAAAAATGCGAAATTTACCGAATTTTTCAAATTTACCTTGATTTTTATTGAACTCAAAAAAATACACACATTTTTTTTTATATTCTAAACTGTGAATTAAAAAAAAAGATACAACCATTTTTACTTAATAAAGGGAATGGCCTCCTCTACTGTTCATTACAGCCCTACATCGTCTTTCCATGCTCCTGATCAGGTTGTCGATTTCTTCTTGAGGTACAGCCTGTCACGCTGCATTCACGGCCCGAACCAGATCCCTACGAGTTTCACGAGGCATACCCATTCTCAAAATTCTTCTTTGGACCGCGTCCCATACGTGCTCGATGGGGTTGAGGTCAGGAGATTGTGCCGGCCAGGGTAAGATGTTTAATTGATGAGCATTGATAAACTCACTTACCACTCTGGCTGTATGAGGCCTTGCATTGTCATGCATGTGAATGAAGTTTCTCCCAAAATCATTGGCATATGGTAACACGACAGGCTCAAGAATTAAATCACGATATGTGATTCCTGTTAGAAACCTTTCAAGAAAAACGAGATCTGTTTTTCGGCCTAACTGGACTCCTCCCCAGACCATAACTGTTCCACCTTGATAAGAGTGCACTTCCTGAATATGATCCAACCGAATAATATTTCCCGGTTTTCTCCATACCATAAGCCTTCTCGAATCTGGATGAATTCCAAAGCGTGAGTCATCCGTGAAGAGAACATTGGCCCATTGTTCATTCGACCACTGAACATGATCTTGAGCCCATAAATAGCGTACCTCTCGATTTCCTCTCGTTTGAGCTTTCCAGGGGCGTCTGCTTCTTAAGTTGACCTCTCTTAATCTATTGCGAATAGTGTCAAGACTAACGGTTACATTATGTGTTTCCTGGAGAATTAAACTAAGCTCTGGTGGTGTAAGAGTCGGTCGGCGTCGAGCATTTAATTGTAAAAAATGATCTGACAGATGCGATGTCGCCCTGTGTGCCTTTCAGCAACATCACCACTTTCACGGTAGCATGCACTTAATCGCGATAATACACTTTGCGTTGTATTTAATGCTCTAGCTACGTCGATTTGGCGCATTCCAGCTTCGAGCATACCTATGGCCCTTAGCATTTCGTCTCTGTTAAGATGTCTACGCTCCATAATGTCGTTTAATACTAAACAGAGTTATTTGAATGAATTCTGGCCAGTTATCATAAAAACATAGCCAATACAGGTTAAATTCGAACAATTGATGCTGGGTGCTTTTTACACATTTGACAAAAAATGCACAAACACTTCTGAAAATATCCCAAATTTAGAAATATCTAGTGTGACTACTTCGTTTCAATCGAAGTAGAAAGAATTGGCCTACAAATATGTGGTTGTTTATTCAAAACATTTATTTTTAACTTTAATAAAATTATATCCCTAGATTTTTCCGGTGTGTGTAGATCTGAAAGGTCACGGTGATTAACCGCGATAACCCCCCCTCCTCCTTCTTTTACCTTAGAAATATTTATGTGCTCGCAATTATATAGTAAAGCTCCTGTAAGCATTCCAAACATCCAAACCGGCAATCTGACAAAGGATGATTCATAAATCAAAGATACAAACTTTAAACCATCGCTAAAAAGACAAAAAGATTTCATATATCCTATTTAGGAATACTAATTGAAGGCATAATATATTATATACCTGTTATTAAAGGTAATGATGAAAATCGCTTAAAAGAAATTATTTTTAAGAAATATTTTAAATTTCAATCTAGAGTGACATGACTGTGTTAAAAACGCTAATTTTTAATCAAGCAGCCTTGAAAAAATGGTTTTGATCATCTAATGTTTTCGTGTCTTGTTCTGGCCGATTAAAAGATTCCCAAATCGCATTTTTAATCATATCATATCTCATTTTTTTCAAATGCAACAAGGCTGGCTCATTCGCATATTTGAAAAAAGCATTTTTTTCAAATTATTTGGTACCATATACTTGGTATTTTGAGTCAAATTGTCATATAATATGTCATTCTATTCAAAGTGTCATTTTCTATCGAATAAAGTAGAAATATACTGAGGGTGCCATTTAAAAATCAAAAGTTGTAGTCATTTCCTCCGGTGAACCAGGAAGTGACCAAAACCAATCGAATGCGCTAATCAATACTAATTTATGTTATACACTAACATACCAAATCTTGTTTATTTATCTGAAAAAATAAAAAAGTTATAGGGGTGAGACACTTTTGAGACGCATCCGGTATAATAATATATGCCTTCAATCATTTATGTACAGGGTGGGTCAAATTCGACGCTTTTAAATGAAAACACCCTTTTCTGTAGGAGATAGACAAAAACTAATATCGGTGTCTGGAGCTTAATTTTTGTCAAAAACAAGATGATGAAAACCGCATATCGCTATCTGTTACCGTTTCGGAGTTACGGGGTGTTTTTCAAAAATATGCATTTTTAACAAATCGCTATAACTTTTTTGCTATGGAAAATTTTGTATTTGTATGAAAACATTTACAAAGCATCTTTTTACGTAGGATTTAATGGTTTAAGTATAATTTTTTTAAAATTAATAATTTAAGAATTATCAACAGAAAATTTGATTTTTTATATGGGACACCCTGTATATTTTTACTTTTTTGAAAAGAATTTAAAATTACCTTTCCGAAAATATAACACACTTGATATTTTGCTCGATTCCTCTTCGAGATATAGAGAATATAAAAATTCGCCCGCTTTAAATAAGTAGGCTTTGAACGGCACCCGCTGTAATGCAAAAAAATTCTAGCTGTGAGCATCAATTAAAACGAAAATAATATTTGCTATGAGAGATGCAGAATTTTATAACAATTTAAAATATATTTAACCAACATCAATACATTTAAACTATATCTAATAACAATAAAAATAAGTAGCAAACCAAGATATGAGATTGTGCTACAGGTGTTCGACATATCGACCGTCTTCTGTTATGGGCAGACGGGGCAGATTTTGAACATTTCTCGCGGTATTCATTAACTCAGTGGGGGTGAAAGATACCCTCTCAAAGCTCCTAAGTATTTTTAATTCTTGTCTAGATTATACGGAAGAATAAGGAACCTTTATTCTTCCGCAAATATATCCATAGGATTAGATCCATGGGTACAAAGTCAGGCGGCCTCGACGGCCAACGGCTGAGATCTTGGTTAGCAATCCAATTATTCTTGAAATTGGCTGCAAAAATTTGCTGATAACTTCAGCGTTCAGAGGCGATGCGTCGTCTTGTTGGAAAAATATGTTTTCGAGTTCCATTAAAGGCATATCATCAATAAGGGGTCCAAAGCCTACTAGTTAAAAGTGGCGAGCTTTTAAAAATTTTGTATTTCGAAGGGGATTATAACAAAATATCAAGTGTGCTATATTTTTGAAAAGGTAATTTTAAATTCTCTTCAGTTAATTAAAAATATATAGGGTGTCCCAAATAAAAAATCAATTTTTCTGTTGATAACTCTTAAATTATTAATTTTAAAAAAATTATACTTAAACCATTAAATTCTACGTAAAAAGGTGCTTTGGAAATGTCTTCATAGAAATACAAAATTTTCCATAGCAAAAAAATTACAGCAATTTGTTAAAAATGCACATTTTTGAAAAACACCCCGTAACTCCGAAACGGTAACAGATATTGATGTGCGGATTTCACCATCATGTTTTTGATGAAAATTGAGCTCCAGACACCGATATTAGTTTTCGTCTATCTCCTATAGAAAAGGGTGTTTCCATTTAAAGGCGTCGAATTTGACCCACCCTGTACAAACATATCTAATTAGCACACTTAATGACACAACATTTATCTACAAATATAATTAACTTACTCAAGAAAGAACCATTTTAATTTATACGTTACTGTAATGTAATAGGTGTAAATCATAGATATTCCTGATAAAAGAGTTAAGCACATTGCTGACTTCTTCGGATATCTTATAAGAAAATGTAAAATCACTGGTGCTATCATATACAGCTGAGTGTCCACTGATAAATACCAAGTTTGCGGAATACACTGAAAATATTATTTAAATAAACGATTTAGTTTTAAATAATGAAGAGTTAAACAACTTAGCAACTAATATCTATATGTTTGTGGCATCTTTATTTCTTGATAAAAGCCTGGATATTTCCCCACTGTTATAAATTAAAAAAATATAAAACTATATATTTTTTACTAAAAAAAAACTCTGTTTCATCCGCGAAATATCCGGGATTTTTTCAAGACACTAAAAATAGAATTATTTAATTGATTTATTAATAAAAAAAATATAGAATGAAACAAGGAACTAGCCTGGTATTTAGGAAACAAGTTGTTTATAAATAATGCAGATGATATTCCCATTTTATTGCAATAGTGGGCCGCTTGGTACATTATTAATGGCCAAAGTGGTCCATCTCCAAAATATTTGATGATGCTGGTGTAAAATAAAATTGTTGCTAAAAGGCCAGGCGATAATCTACAAATAAATAGTACAAAATTAGTTCAATAAATAGTACTGGTTTTCCTTAAACTATGGTACTGAGCGCTGTTCCTAAAATGGTGAGTGACAGAAGTCATTTTATAGAAGAATTACCAGGAATGGTGTCAGGACTCGAGCGTTGTAGTTTTTAGTATTTATCTAAACCACACTAAACTCTAATTTAGATTGAAATAACTGAAGAAAATTCCAACAAAAAGTATTTAAAAAGTACACTGAAAAAATATAAGTAATTTTACAAAAAAAAATATTGATATAGTATTTTTAATTAAAAAAAACTTGTAAAAATAAGATATTTTTGCATAGTTTCACAAAAAAAAATGTAATTTCGCAAAACAGTTTATTAATATTAAATTATTATAACTAAACGATATTATTTTTACAATGAGTTTTTTGAGTTTAAAAATTAAATTTAAATCAGAAATACAATCTTGTAGTAAATCTGCGTGTGTCTAGACATATACACAAAACTTGTATAAATTTACCATAATATATTTAGTAAAAAATGATGCCACGTCACGTGATATCTTGTAAAGCTGCTGCGGCATTAAGTATTCGATTGAAAAGGTAGTGAGAAGGAAAAGCGAAGAACAGTTCAGGAGAAAGTCTCAGAGCGTGGGCGATTAGGGTTTTTATAATTTAAGGGTAAGTATATTATATTAATTTATATTAATTATGTTTATATGAAGTTTCTGTAAATATAAAGCCAGCCCTCTTAGAAAACACAATCTTCATTTATTATAATTATTTGTATTTTAATTTTAGCGATTCTTTATGTAAACATAATTGTTCCATGATCTCTCTATATCAAATGTATTTAAAACGCTTTGTGAATTTACAAAAGTAATTGTAAATTCACTATAATAAAATGTTTAAATTTGTTGTTAGTCTATAGTAATAGCAGGGGTGGATGGGCCATATGGGAAAACGGGAAATGCCGGTGGGCCGGTCTCGATCAGGGCTCAAAAAAAGATTGGATTAGCAAAAATTAAATGGTTAAGCGTCTAACTAAAGTTACGTAAGATCCTTAGTGACTCCATGACTAACTAATCAATTTGCATGAAGATAACTATTGTAAAATGTCTCTGTGGGACACTTATAATTTTAATAATCATCTGTTGTTTGTTCGGTTTGAAAATTTTTATTATACAAGGTGAGTCTATAAGTGCAAATATTTTCAGGGCTGGTAGATCTCAATAAAATAAACATAATATATTCTCTTTATCGAGTTTCAAATAAGTCCAACCGAGTTATTAAAGTTTGGAAATTTAAAAAAACAATAGATTTATATTTTTTCTTTTAGTGCCGTAATATCAGAGATTAAGAAACTATACCGTGGGAAAATTTGCGGCGAACAAGAAGCTCTAAAAAGTCTTGTAAAAAGTTTTCTAAAATATACAGGAAAATTTAAAAGAAAATGCTCGATTTATAACATCTTTTTTTTGCAAAAAAAAACTCATAGACGTGTTCCTGGGGTCGAAATATACCACCCCTGAAAATATTTGCACTTATTTAAGACTCACCCTGTATAGTTTTACCCACTATTCTTTTATTAATAACTAATAAATATGACTGACTGGCATCAGAAAAAAGAATGAATAGCATTAGGTAAATTTAAATAGTCTCGATCTAAATGTATACTAAGAATACGATAGCGTAGATTGACAACTGGGGGCCTTAGTGCAATATGTTCCGAGCACGAATTTGACGCGAACTCTGCGGTTGACGGAGAAAACATATCTATGCTTGGTTTGAATTAGGAACGGACTAAAAGCCAAGTCTGAGAACTAAAAGCCAAGTCTAAATTGTTGTTTAAAATGTTGCTAAAATGAATTTGCTAAAAATTACTGAGACAGCAGAGAAGAATTAAATAAGGTTTAAACTATATTAGATAATAAAATATTAATATGTCTCGATAATCCAAATATTCTTATTATGGACTGTAACATTTTTTATGGACTGTAACGTTTGACTCATGGCATTATCATACAAGATGCCAAATGTAGAAAAGTATAGAGGAAAAGTTTCGTGATAAGAACTATATAATAACCTAAAAATGCTGCAGTTTTAATGGAGATCGCGGTTCATTCAGTTAAAAACACGTTGAAAAAACATTTCAAAAAAGACAATTTATTTAAAAAAAAACCGGAGGCAAAAGAGCTTTTTCGCACGAGCGAAAAACACCCTTACTTATATATTGATAAATAAAATATGTTTCTTCGTTATGGTCATTTAGTTTTGGTGATTTGGGCTGGTTGCCTGTTTTTCCCGGGCCGGTTTCCACTTCCCCATCCACCCCTGAGTAATAGTACAAGAAGTTGGCGATTTTAAAAGATATTTACAATAAATAAGTAAATTTACTATGAGACACACATTTTTTAAATAAATTCACAAAGAATATTGGTGAATATAAAGATATTTTAACATATTTACTTACATGCCGCAAATTAACCATACAGCGATGTTACAAACGAATTGTAAAAGTAAAGAAAGGATGGTAAATTTACTACAGTAATCTGTTAATTACCATCAATATTGTCATTAAATTCAGAGATTAATTTTTTCAGTGTAGTGTTTAAAATTAAACAAGAATTAATAATATGCTAATTCACGATTAAAACATCGACATAGAGATTCTCACCTGGCAATTCTCGCCAAATATAGCACGTACCAGGGCATGGGCTGGCTTTCAGGCAGAATGTCCCTGATTTGCATAAATTTGTATGCCAAAAGCAGGCCGCTAATGACGAGGAATGTGTCCACCGAGAACGGCGCCATCACCAATGGCAAAGCGGCATAACTTTTGCGCCACTACAAATAATCCTACATCAATTTTGCTTTTAAAAGTTTTACATAAAAATATTTTTCATAAATTTAATGCAACTAAACTAATCAAAACGAATTAGGAATCACCTATATGTGTATCTGTATTTACTATGTTTATAGACCGACCATGAAAAAAAAATGTTTTTTAATGCCTAAATTGATGAAAAAATGGAATTCTTTCCAGTCATAAAAAATAATTGTAAAGATGCACTCGAAGACGCATAAATTCCATAAACTCAATTTCTTATTTAGTGTGATTTTGCTCTTTTGATCGTCAAAATTGGTGTTAAATACGTCAATTTTGATGTTTTGGGAAGACTAAACGGTGCCAGAAGGCGTAAATACTGAAGAAGTCATCAGAGCCATGACTTTATTGTAGGAGGGTCGGTCGCAATGATACGTGTGGCAACTTTTTCATGTTACACAATGGGTCATTTCCAGACTATAGAATCTACACAGAAAATATGTTTTTTTTATCCGAAGACCATATCCTCATTGAATAAAGCTTGATTTTCATGCATCCGTTGTCCGACGATACGATGATACGATAATAATTTTATTGGTTGAATTTAAGGACATTGACTGGTTAACCGTTTCTAACCAATAAAAGTCTTTAAATTAAACCAATAAAATTAATATCGTATCAACGTGTCGTCGGACAACGGATGCATGAAAATCAAGCTTAAGGCGGACGAGGCGGGAAGATCGGTATCTTGTTTAAGCCGCTCTTCGTGAAAGAACACTTACCACCAGAAACGTACAAGACTTACAGAGAGTATACAGAAGAGGAATGAACGGTATCTGAACACAGCAGTCAGAGAAGCGATGCATTTTGGAAGGGATTTGTGAGGTTCCGTTATGGTACAGGGAAGTATAACTTTAAATGGGCGTACGGACTTGCATGTCTTTCTAGACGGCATAATTATTACCACATGTTATTCCATTTGATGCTCAGCATGGGCCAGAATTCATCTTACAACAGGATAAGGCCAGGCCTCATATTGCAAGAGTAGTGACTCGGTACCTTGAAAGGTCCAACATCACAATTATGGATTGGCCTGCCAATAGCACTGATCTGAATCCTATTCAGCACCTTTGGAACCTACTAAAGAGAAGACTAAAAAGTCGTCCACAAGCACCAGATCTTCAAGCCTTGGGAGAATATTTTTGAGAGGAGTGGAACGCCTTTCCTCAAGAGATTATTTGGAACCTCATTCAGTCTATGGCAAATCTAGAGGTCTAGGAGACACACATTATTAGGCAAAAGAATCTGTTGACAATTACGATAAAAATTGTTTAGCATTGTTTTCGATACATATTGTAGTCATTCATAACGTAATAAAAATACAATTTTCAGCCGATTGACACTTTTTTTCGTCATGAACAAAAAAGTACCATACACTAAATTCAAATTTAATTCTTAAGGAACATATTGCTACGTTTATATGTTCAAATAAATACATTTTCTTTGTTTAAACGGAATTTATCAAAGTGATCCTTAATTCGTTTTGACTAGTTTACTTGCAATTTTTATTGAGAAATTTAAACACAAAACAGAAAAGTCCGGACTTTTTCCGGACTTAAACCAAACCAAACCAAACCCTAAACACAGACGTAAGTTTTTCTATCAACAATTAAATTCCTATTACAGAGAACTGGAGCTTCCGTATATGTGTTATTAATAAATTAATAATTCGAATAATCTGTATACTACGTAAATTTTACACATTCTCGGAGGTTCACGTAAGCGTAAACCACTAATACACATAATTACACAATAAATAATATAAAGAATAATCTGTAGCCCTTTACCTGGAAGATTTCCACTGTGTTAATGCTTCCGCTCATGTAGTTAAAAGCAAATCTGTGGCCATAAATAACCCATAGCATACTTAGGGTTTTCATCCCACTCAAACAGCCGAAAAGGTCGCCTTCTTTGATCTGAGGTGTTTGAAAGACTTTTTTGAAGTTTTTGTGCAAGGAGAAGGCAACGAAACATTCCTCTAAGAATACTCTACGTGGGACTGAAAGAAATATATTTATGTGGATGTTTTTATGTAATAAAATTCAAGGCTAGTTATCATTCAAATATAGTAGGTATTTCATTCAAAATTATTATTATATCAGTACTTTTCTGAAAACAGAATGTGATAAATGACCTCACGCTATTATTGAAGTACTTGGGAGTAAAAATTCAATGCCGTGACACGACACGCGACACCACACGCGACAGGAAAAATTATAATGACACTACCTACGGCTTAGAAAAAATCGTCCGATTTAAATGAAATTTGGTATGTCAAGAGATTGGACCAAGGCCAACTTGACCGTGTACGACCCGTGTCATTGTGACAGTTAGTTTTGACGTAATTAACGTCAAAAATTGATGTCATCCGATCGCGACCAAATTTGGTGGGTAGGTGGAACATTTGATTTTTCAGGAATTGTTTTCATGCTGTTTTTTTTTTTTTTTATATTTAATAAATATATTGGCATTTTTAAACGTATAACCTGGAATTTTATGTATAGTTAACAATTAGGTTGGTTATTTTCTTAGTGTATTTAACCAAAATACATTGTTTGAAGAACCTTGCAGGATTTTCTTTTCTTTGGATATTTGTAAATGTTTTTGGTGCCTGATACTTCCCTAATATGAGGTATTTTACGTGTGTGGCGTTTGGGATTATCTTCTCGTGAATGTGGAGTGTGAAAACATTTTGGGCATTATAAGACCTGGAAGGTTATCATAATTCGTTTTGACTAGTTTACTTGCAATTTTTATTGAGAAATTTAAACACAAAACAGAAAAGTCCGGACTTTCTCCGGACTTAAACCAAACCAAACCCTAAACACAGACGTAAGTTTTTCTATCAACAATTAAATTCCTATTACAGAGAACTGGAGCTTCCGTATAGGTGTTATTAATAAATTAATAATTCGAATAATCTGTATACAACGTAAATTTTACACATTCTCGGAGGTTCACGTAAGCGTAAACTACTAATACACATAATTACACAATAAATAATATAAAGAATAATCTGTAGCCCTTTACCTGGAAGATTTCCACTGTGTTGATGCTTCCGCTCATGTAGTTAAAAGCAAATCTGTGGCCATAAATAACCCATAGCATACTTAGGGTTTTCATCCCACTCAAACAGCCGAAAAGGTCGCCTTCTTTGGTCTGAGGTGTTTCAAAGACTTTTTTGAAGTTTTTGTGCAAGGAGAAGGCAACGAAACATTCCTCTAAGAATACTCTACGTGGGACTGAAAGAAATATATTTATTTGGATGTTTTTATGTAATAAAATTCAAGGGTAGTTATCGTTCGAATATAGTAGGTATTTCATTCAAAATTATTATTATATCAGTACTTTTGTGAAAACAGAATGTGATGAATAACCTCACGCTATTATTGAAGTAAAACTTGGGAGTAAAAATTCAATGCCGTGACACGACACGCGACACCACACGCGACAGGAAAAATTATAATGACACTACCTACGGCTTAGAAAAAATCGTCCGATTTAAATGAAATTTGGTATGTCAAGAGATTGGACCAAGGCCAACTTGACCGTGTACGACCCGTGTCATTGTGATAGTTAGTTTTGACGTAATTAACGTCAAAAATTGATGTCATCCGATCGCGACCAAATTTGGTGGGTAGGCTATGTGAGCGACGTTGGATACGACGCGACGTTCCGTTTACATCTTCATCAGAGTGGGACTAAGGATTTGATATTAAAGAAAAATGTGGGTTGAATTCGCCATAATTAGGGACGGGCCCTCATTAGGGGATGACGCCCTCGACGTTTCGAAGCAATGCCTCAAAATGGACGCAACGTGGATAGAGGTACTCGAATGGAGTCCTCAGACGGACAGACGGTCATTTTAATACAGATTTTGGGAAAGTGAATCAAATTATTTATTAATTTTTAATTTATTACTTTTTAAACATTTCAAACTACACTTTTTCAAACAAAAGTTTTTCTTCAAATATGCGCACATAGTGCACACACAATTTTTTTCATATACATCAAAATTGATGATATCCAAAAATTTGATACAATTTATCTGTGAGCGTGAATAACATACAACAAATCTCACTCCCAACATCATTCACAATGCGAAAAAAATCTAAAGAATAAACTTATATAGTTACCTTCAAGATATGAATAGTATAACATGTCATAAGCTGTCGAAAGCATGACAAAAATACCATACAAACCAAACATTAAACTAAAAAAGAAAAAGTAATAATAAAATTATAAAAATCTTTATATTCTACCTACAAAACATATGAATCGAAATCATAGACAAAAGGTACTTTTCCTTTATAAGAACAAAGATGGTCATCGACTGTCACGTGAACAGGAATATGAAAAGTATGTTCTATATAATTCCATAATTTTTGTAAATTGGCTGTACTGCAAGACTTGGGCAAGCAGACTCCGAAAATAACTTTTATAAAATTCAACATTCGTTCAAAATCTACGTTTTCTTCTAATTCTAAATGTCTGGGTAGAACCTAAGAGTATATAGTATAAAAACTTAAATTCTGAATAGAGGATGGCCCAGTATTTCAAGTTCTATATCGAGATTTTTCGCTGATATTTTTACTACAATCTTATTTACAAAAAGTGCGGGTTATAGAAGCACTCTTGTATTTAATGATAGTGTCTCTTTATGGTGTAATTGTATTGAAATAGTTTAACTTGCTTGGTACTTACAGTCTAGTTGTAATTGATAGTCTATATGAATAGATTATTGTTATCCTGGTATTTATCTTTTTATTTATATAAAATATCTTTATAAATTATAGCCTATATATTATTCTGATGTATTCTTCTTATCACGCCCTCTCCTGCCGAGGGTTGGCGATCCAAATGGCAATTGTGGCTCTGGAAACTGCAGCCCGGAAGATTTCCGCAGACGAGCGTTCAAACCACCTCCTCAAATCTTTTAGCCATGAGTTCTGGCGTCTTCCTACTGATCTTTTCCCTTGCACTTTGCCCTCTATTATGAGGCGCAGTATTTCGTATCTACCACCTCTTATCACATGACCCAGGTATTGCATTTTTCTTTCCTTGATGGTGTTCAGTATCTCTTTTTGTTTCTGCATGCGCTGGAGTACTTCATTGTTGGCGATCCTTTGTACCCATGAGATTCGCAGCATCCATCTGTATATATACATTTCGAAGGCTTCTATTCTCTTCTCGGTCTGTGAATCCAGTGTCCAGCTCTCACATCCATAGAGGAACACAGAAAAGACGTATCATCTGGCCATTCAAGTTCTGAGATCCACACTGAGGTCTCTTCTTGTAAAAAATGATTTCATTCTCACGAAGATTTTTCTCGCTTGCTCAATTCTTGAAAATATTTCTCTTTTCGGGTCGCACTGACTATTGATGTTAGCTCCTAAATACTTTATTGAGGTCACTTGTTCGATTGTTTGTCCCTTGACACGCAGGTGTGCATTTATTGGAGTCTTAGAAAAGACCAATAGTTTGGTCTTGAAGACATTGAGATGCAGTCCAAACATCTCACTATAGTGGACTACGGAATCTATAATGCTTTGCAGTTCTTGTATATCGTTGGCTATTATAACCGTATCATCGGCATATCTGATATTGTTTCTTGAGATTCCATTGAACTTGATTCCGCCCTGAATTCGATCCAGTGCTTCTCTAAATATAGTCTCCGAGTACAGGTTAAACAGGAGCGGACACAAGACGCAACCCTGCCGAACAACCCGTCTGATTTGTATATCTTCCGATGTTGACTGCTTCATCTCAACTACCGCCGTTTGATGCCAATAAAGTTCTGATATGAAACGTAGGTCTTGTTCGTCAACTCCGGTTGTTCTTAGAATTTTGATCATCTTCTGATGATTAACACAGTCGAACGCCGTACGATAGTCTATGAAGCATGCAAATACATTCACATTCATGTCTCTACACCTCTGTGTCATTACATTTTAGGAGAAGAGTGCTTCACGCGTTCCGAGTCCGTTTCTGAAGCCAAACTGGGTGTTGTCCATCTGATTTTCGCACTTCTTGTAGATTCGAGTGTGGATGATTCTAAGAAAGGTTTTGAGGACATGGGACATAAGACTTATCATCCGATAGTCATCACATTGTGAGGCGTTGGGTTTCTTTGGCAGGGTTACGAATGTTGATTTAAGCCAATCTGACCGTATTTTGCTTGAGCTATATAATTTGTTAAATAATGCTGTTACCAAACTACTGGTGGGGAACAGGGTCCGTCATCATTAAAAAGTGTTTCGATATATTCTTTCCATCTCACAAGCTTAGCCTTTACTCCTAGAATTATCCCGTTGTTATCGTTTCTTAGGATTGTTTTTTGGTGTTTTCTGTGTCTGTTTGTAAATTCTTTCACTTTTTTATGAACATTGAAGGTGTCATACTTTGCTTGTAGTTGCTCTATTTCTTGACATTTTGTTGACATCCAGATCTCTTTCTCTTCCCGGCACTTTTGCCTAATGATCCCATTTAAACGTTTGTATTCTATCGGGTTTGCCTTCTGCTTCCGTCTGTCATCCATGAGGTCTCATATTTCCTGTGTCATCCATTCCTGCTTTTTGTTGGTTGCCGTGATTTGCAAATAATAATTTCTGAAGTAACTTCAATATTTGGATGAAAATTGGTGTCTGGGAGTTTTTTGACATGAGAAATTTGATTTTGATGTCAATATGACTCGCACTTGTAGCGGGCGCCACCTACATATTTTTTAACTGGTTTAAGAGTAATAACTTTTCGTCCGTACCAGTATAAAACTACCGAGTAAAAGAATATACATTTACGACGTTTTGTACGCAAAAAAGGTCTCTTGGTAAAATTCGATACGAATAATGGTTCTCGAGATATTTGGAATCGAAATTATCAATACCTGTTGTCATTGACTCATTGACATAAATTAAACATGCGTTGACTAAATAGTTATTAGACTGGAATCATAAATTTCAAATGTTTTAGTGCCAAAAGTTCAACAGAAACTGTTTTATCATCATTTTTTTAAGAAAAATTTATGATTAATGTAAAAAAATAAAAAGTTTCCAAATTTATCATTTCAGTCAAATTACCATCTACACGACATGTTTATTTTTTGTCAATAATGACATATATTGACTATTTCCATTCTAAATATCTTGAGAATGGTTGCTCGTAGCGATGTTTATCGAGAGACATTTTTTACGTAAAAAATCACAGAAATGTATATTTTTTCAGTACTAATCTTCAAAACAGTTAAAACGCATGTAGGTGGCGCCCCCTACAAATAGGAGTCATATTAATTTCAAAATCAAATTTCTCATGTGCAAAACTCCCAGACACCAATTTTCATTCAAATATTGACGTTATTTCAGAAATTATTTAGAAAAAATCGAAATAAAAATGAAACTTTTACACCCTGTATCTCCGAAACTAAGCATTTCAAGACATAAATTTATACGAATTATTTTATCTATTTTTATCTGCAGAATATGCTTCCGAAGTTTCCGGAATACAGTTCGGACCACCCGTTATATCAGATTTCTCGGTTTTATGAGAGAAGTAAAAATATCAAATTAAAAAATACATTAAGCTTTTGAGGAACTCTGTATAATGGGCCATCCTGTATTTATATAATTTTAATATTGGTACTTGAAATATATCTACAGCCGAGTTTGAATCTGTGGTATAAATCTTAACTGGCGACAAAAGTACTGTACAGTACTGTCCTTCGATAACTTCGTCATCATTTTTCTGTTTCTTTATTTGAATGCATTGATCAAAATTACCCAAATTGTGAGTTCCACCATATAAAATTCCTGGTTGTAATTTTGCCGAGGCATCCAGCACTGAAAAATATCCTCCCTATATTTTTGTGGCACGTTCTCAAGAGAAATTTGATTTATTAAAGGGATTCCCAAGAGAAAATACTCGAAACAAACTTTTATTGAGTTTTTTTTCTTATTAGTTAAAGTAATATGTGTATAAGTTATTAAGGAAAGGAAGATATAAAGAGTTATATGGTATCTAAAAATATGGATATTTTTATACAATCGATATAAGAACTATAAAAATATACAGGGTGTATCAGATTGTTAGTGTTATATGATAAATTCTTGCAGATTGCAAAATCCGTCTTATCCTAAAAACGTTGTTTCGTGATAACACCCAAAAACTGTTTTAGCAAATGTGTGAAGCGCTATTTTCTAAAAGACATTATTTTGAAAATCATTATTTTGTATCTCGTTTATCTACAAACAAATATTAATATTTAATTTTTAAAGAGAAAAAACACAAAAATAATTCGGATAAAGTGGGTTTTGTTGCAGTAATTGCGGGTTTTGCCACATCAAGATATTTGCATCCTAAATTGGATTTATTAGGTATGCTATTTTATTAAAATTGGATAAGGATTTGAAATGGATAAGACAACAGTAGTAATATTATACTTGTGTAAAAAGCCTATATGAAAAAATACGGGATTTGCAACAATAATGAAAATATGTCATTAGGCCTTTTTTTTAATGGATTTACGCGTAAAAATAAAGAAAAACGTAACAAGTAAAAATAAATTGCTTATATATTTTTATCAAACTAAATGGCAATTATAAGAATAAACGGAAGAAATATTTAAATTTATAATTATACCTATTTTTAATTTTTTTTGGTAAAATTTATTCAGGAAAACAATTAATTAAATTGCGAAAACCTGTAGAAATATTTTCATTTTCATTTTAATGCTAAAGAATAAAATTAAAACGTGCTTGAAGGAGGAATAAAATTATCATAACTTGGGACAGCTGTTGCCGGAATTTTTAAAACTTTAGTAATTTTTTCCCTTTTCCTAAATATTTACTAAATTAATATACAGTATGTCTCCAGATTGCCTTTACAAGAGGAAAAACATTTTTAATATTAAAATTTTGAGAAAAATACATTCTTCATAAAAATGTTTTTGTTAAAGACAGTTTATACTTTTTCAAATTTCCATACCGTTTTAGAGAAAATTAAGAAAAACATGAAAATATGGCTGAATTTTTTCTAAAGTTCTAAAAATTAATACGCGTTTCTATGATAATATATTTTTTATTTCATTCTTTGATAGATGGTTATTATTAATTTTGGTTAACGTCATATTCTTTGCTGTTGCTGTTATTAAAGTATCACATTTTCCGATAACTATCATCACTCTTGCCGCAGCATTGAACTAAATAAATTTTGTGTTTCTTTAGCATTTAAAAACATCAAAAAATATTATGTTAATTAAAATTCTATAAATAACAATTTATCAAAGAATGAAAACGAAGTTATATAACCATAGTCAATATAGTGAATAGTCAATTCAACCATATTTTCATGTTTTCCTTAATTTTCTCTAAAGCGGTATGGAAATTTGGAAAAGTATAAACGGCATTAATCATTTTAGAAAAAGGAAAAATTTTTATGAAGAATGCATTTTTCTCAAAATTTCAATAATAAAAAAGTTTTTCCTCTTGTAACAACAATCGGGGGACACACCTTGTATAGTGGGTGCGTCTCAAAAATAGCTCATCCCTATAACTTTTTTATTTTATTATTATTATGATATATCATTCTATTCAGAGTGCCATTTTCTATGAATTAAAGTAAAAAAATACCGAGGGTGCAATTTGAAAATCAAAAGTAGTCATTTCTGGTGAAACAAAGAAGAAGACCGAAAAAAATTGAATACGTCAATCAGTTCTGATTTATGTCATAATATACTAACGTACTAAATCTCGATAATTTATTAAAAAAAATATAGGAGTGAGCCACTTTTAAGAAAGACCCGGTATAAATTTAAATATTTAGTCTTAAAAAATTGTGGATACTCACTTTTTAATGCCCATATATTCTTTATATTTAATGCATCCGTGATAAGGTATTTTAAATGCCTCGAACATGATCCTTTTGGTATTGACTTATCAACAATTTCATGGGCTTTATTTTTGAAATATTTTATATAAATATTCGCAATTGATAAACAGTATACACCAGATGAAAATAAAATTATTAATAATAAAATTTTCATGTCAAAATTTTAGCTAATATTGGAACAATAGTTTAACTAGTAAGAATTATTGTTTCTGTTAGGACTCATTGAAATGTTTAATTAAACAGCATGTAGTTTTTGAAAAGATAGTACCTAGGTATGAGTAATAATACTGGCTAATTAGTTTAATGAATGCTAAAAGTAGAAATAATAGTTGATAAAGAAAAATGGTATAACGTGAAATAAAAGACACAAATATATTAAATGAATAATATGGTATAGTACAGGAGTTGCTCGTTTTAAGCCGCACGCAACAAATTTGAAAAATCTTTTATAGGTACTGAATATGTCGTATGATCGTAAAAAGACGTTTAGTTGGCTTGGAAATGACGATTATCGAAAAGCTATCTTCATTTCCAAACCAAGTCTGACGCCGTTCTTTGTTTAATCATATAATATTATATTAACTTGTTTAATGATAGAAAATCCGTATTATTAACGTACTGTATCCAAAATCCGTAAATTTACGGATTAATCCGTAACTCTGGCAACACTGTCTCCGGTAACCACTCTGTCGACTGAAAGCAGAACTCTATCAGTTGCGCTGTAAACGACTCATCGTCGATCAGCGCTCAGCGGCGCAGAGCTAAACTAAATCTCGGACAGGCTGACGGTAACGCCAGCTACATCTCGAACATGTTTTGTGTTACGAAATCACACATAAGGTTGCGCATCTTCTTATTTCTTCAATCAACGCTATTATTTACCTACGAAGCCAAAGGTAGAGCGGAATTCGCGTTCAAGACACTTCCGCTTCGAAAGCCAGACGACCCGTTTATGGACGCTCTTATATTTCTTTCAGCGAGATCTACCAGCAGCTCTAAAAATATTTCCAATTAAAACTCACTCTATATAGTAGATAACCATGTGAGCATCGTCAGCAGATTATTTAAACTTCTTATGCCGGGTCCAGACCAAGGCGATAAAAAGTAAATACGATTTTGAGACAAAAACAAGATAAACTTGCGACAAAAAACGGGGAATTCTGACAAGACAAACTTGAGACAAATTGTCCACACCGCAAGGAGTACAACAAAGTCAAAAGTTTAGTTGTTGCGAATGAGTTTTGTTACAACCATGTGAGATTTCACTGGTTTCCTACTATTGGCAGCACACGCCATCCATACTGCCGTAAAATATACGAACAAAACATAGATACTTTGATCTTTACCGACTCGAGACGGGATATTGAAACGACTCCGAATTTTGAAACAAAACAAAAATGAGACAAAAATGTCGCAGAAATGTATTGGATTTGTCGCAATTTTGTCGTAAAACATGAACGTTTCTGTTTTGTCGCTGTTTTGTCGCTGTTTTGTCGCTGTTTTGTCGCTGTTTTGTCTGCTTGGTCTGGACCGTCTGGACCCAGCACTAAGTTATAAAATAGTTAGAGAAACGCGCGTCCAGTGCAAAGTTAAAGTATTTTGGTATATTGTGGTAAATTAGTGTTTTTATTTTGCTGTTATAATACCAAGGTTCCAACTCCCAACTGTAGCTAACTCTTAAACACTAAATAACTTGTTATCAAAACATAACTCGTATCTTTCTCCGTAAGTTGTTGAAATGTCTTTTAAAATCCTACTTTCAATCCTATCGCCTTTCATTTCGCGTTGTAACATAAAGATACTGTCTAAGAACGTTCTGGTTCGAATCGTAAACCTGTTTAATTGCAAGATTTTAGCATACCGGGTTGTAAAACCGTGAATTTAGGACTGACACGATCGTCAAAATTATAATAAAATTTCGCACCTAAGCGTCGAAGGTGTTTTATGAGTTTGGGACAAGGGGATGAAAAGTATGGAAGAGGTAGTTCTGTACCCTATTTGATTAAACTAAATGTGTAGTAGATTCAAATATAGTAGGAAGAAACAAAAGATTGTTGTACAGGGTGGCAGAAAATAGTGTGCCTAACTTTGGTGGGTGACAGATAAAAATAAAAAAGAATGTTCTTATGAATATATGCGGTAAAATGCTTTCCGGAGAAGTTACAGCCCTGGAAAAATTTAACTAAAACATTTTACCGGGTGTTTTTCAAAAGTGGTGCACTAACTTTTTTTTTCAGATAAAAGAAAGATATTTAGTATGTTAGTATATGACATAAATAAGGATTGATTGACGTATTCAATTAGTTTCGTTCACCTCCTGTTTCACTGGAAATTATCACAACTTTTGATTGATATAATAGTATGGTAGTGTATTGCGGAAGTCAATTGAAGGTAGTGAGACTCTTAATTCCTTTGTACCGACGATGCCGACAAAGATAGTGCCGAAATTAAGAGTCCAAATCTATTCCAACTGACTTCAGATAAACTATACCCTCGGTATTTTTTTACTTTATTTGATAGAAAATTACATTCTGAATAGAATAACATATCATATGTAAACTTTTGACATTTTCAATTAAAAAAATTGCATTTCATATTTCAATCTAGGGAATTTGACTCGAAATACCAAGTATGTTTAACTTTTGTGGATTTTCCTTGTTTTAAGTAAGAACAATTAGGATTGTCACGGGGTTTTAACAGGACACTTTCTCTTTAATAAACACCCCAGTAAGTTGAAATGTTGAAATACATTTACAATTCCTGTAGAAGCACTGATATTTTTGTTTCGCTATTAGGTTGGACGCACACAGAAAAAGCAAAACAGTTTGAGTCAAAAACGTTTTTGACTAAAAAAACCTGTTTTCATGTGATGCCTCAATGCAAATTAAATGGGGTAAAGAACACTGATCAATTGCGAAATTGAAGACAGGTTTAGGCTCATTTAGGAGGTAAACCTTAAGAAGACGGAATATAAGTGTATCCGCGGCGAACAACAGAACTTAATCCTAGAACACCAACAGCAAGAGATTAAACACTGCTAAAAATGTAAATATCTTGGCATGTACATTACTAACGATGGTAGCCTTGATGAAGAAATTAAGTACAGAAACAACCAGGGAAGACAAGCAATTAGACAACTCAACAGTATTCTATGCGATAAGGCAGTATCAAAACAAAACAAACGCAAAATTTATAATAGCATAGTTAAAATCATCATTAGTTATGGTAGTGAAGTATTGCCTTTGAAAGAAAAAAAATCTTATAATAATAGTTCCCGTATATAACGTTTAACGCCTTGGGAGTAGCAAGGTACAGCTTGCTATACTAGAGCCGTTCGGTATACAAGGAAGGTAATGTGGCTAGCACTACGCTTCAACCGCCTATTATTACCTCAGGATTGTGAATCCCAAGTACTCATTTAAGGCTGAGTCGACGTAGGTACCCAAACTATTTTTATTTTAATAAAAATAGTCGGCTGATTAAATGCCGGGTGTGGGAATCGAACCCACACCTTGAGATTGGTAGACGAGAGCCTGCACCTCTACGCCACCGGGCACCTTAAATTAAAAAAAAATCTTAAGTCACTTGAAGCTACAGAAATGATCGTTTGGCGGCGCGCGGTCGGCAAATCGAAACTGGATAGAGTAAGAAATGGAGAGAATTCAGAACATCATGGGCGTTAAACACAGAATAACAAGACATCAAAATTAACCAGCTCAGGTGGTACGGGCACGTACAAAGAATAGAGGTGAGCAGAATCCTAAAGAAAGTACTCATTTGGACACTACAAAGTAAAAGAAAGAGAGGGAAACCTAGACGGAGATGGAGAGAAGGAATAGACGGAGACATTAGAACAAGAGGAATAGACGAAAATCTCTGGAATAGAAGAAAACCTTTGGAAACTCATCCTACTGTCTCAGGGCATTGACAAAAGCCAGTATCTAAGACGTCTTCAGAGAGGGTAGTTCTCCATCTCCAATATCAGTCATACCAAAGTTTAGGGCACGAATGGTTGTCATCTCGGCGAACTCAGTGATGATGTGTTTTGGTGTTTCCCCATTTTCCCCACAAAATCTGCATTTGCCGTTGTTTCTTAGGTTCAATCTACTGAGGTGTTCGTTGAGAAGACATTATCAAACAACTCTGTGACAATGCGAAGATTGTTCTAACTGAAATCAAAGAAAATCTTTGATTTTTGTCGGTCGTACGTTCTAAGAAATTTCTTGGAGTATCTCTTACACCGTTGGAGGATTCCGCTGCCAAGTTACGTATGGAATCTTCCAGGTTCTTTATTTCCGTTTTAAGTTGGTTTCCACTTAGGATGTAGAACGGTCCTGGTCCAGTTAATGGAGCGTTCGCTTTTTTTCTAGCTCGATCGTTTGCTTTTTCATTGTCTTCTATCCCTTGGCGAATTTGCACCCAGAGTAGGAGGACTTTATTTTCTTTTGCCTAATTTGTTAAGCTTCTCTAGGCATTTTTTTTACCAATTTCGAAATGATGGTTACTGAGTTGATCGCCTTTAGTGCTGCTTGACTATCGGATAATATGGATATTTCCTGTTTCTGATAGTTCCTATCTAAGATAAATTATCCGTATTTTTCGATAGCGTAGATTTCTGTTCGAAGGATGCTGGGGTAGGTTCCCATTGGTTCGGAGTATTTAGTTTTTGGCCCAAATACTCCTATCCCTGTCCCTGCTTTGGTTGTAGAAGCATCACTATACCACATTATAATATGGTCTTTTACCTGCTGAGCAAACGTTTCTCTCTTCCAATACTTTTTATTGCTCAATTCTACAGTGAGGTGTAAAGTGTACTCAAAGTTGTACATTCCTGGTATGTCATCCACTGGCAGTTTTATAAATGCTTTTAAAAAAGACAACATCGATTTTGAAATTACATTGCTCTTTCTGTCTGCATCGAGTCATACATCTCACTCAAAGCGATATAAATGAACTTGTTAAAATGTATATACACGGAGGGACTTTTTTTTCTACACCAATTCACGCTAAATTATTCGCGAGCCTGTAGAGCATGTATATGTCATCGTAAAATGTTCGTCTCCAGGTGTAATCGCTCCACAGGTCGTAAAATTTTGACGGGAGACACTAAAAGCGATAAAAAAGTTACTAGTTAGAGCGAACGCTATTAGTTTTATAGCTCTTCCGATACGTGCTTAATACTACCTGGAAGTTTTCTGTTAATTAAACAAACTCCAATGAAAATTTACTATTTTCTTGCAACGATAACCATTAAAAGGTTAATTTGAAAATAGGAAATTGAATTCTGTTTAATAAGTATAATAATATAATCTTCTTCTAGTTTGATACTACTATTTTTTAAAGCCTTAGGAAAGTAGTATTTCGGAAGTTCCTAAAAATATGTATAAATATATGTCCGATAGTCATTTATTTGAATTTGGAAATAATAAGAAGTCACTCGCGGCCAAATCTGAATAGTGGTATGATATTCTAAAAAAATGTATTTGGTTGGGAAGCACATGTTTGGAAAGATACTTCTTTCCACAAGGACTTTATAAATTGCTCTTATGTCATTTTTGACATATGACATAAACATTCCATTTTTTTTTTTAAAAATGGAAACCATAGTTGGTCATCACTTCATAAAAGGTGCAATTTTCTTAAGCTTTCCAGCGATATAAGCTATAATATGTTTTTTCGAAAAATTAGATGGCATGGTATTCTTATTCCTATTATAATTTATATCTTATAAAAAAAAACAGAATATGGTTCATAAATGGTTCTTAAATTTACATTAAACAAATTACGACTTAAAAAACTAATACCACACATACACTTTAAATTATTTTAATATGTTCCAAATCCGCCAATTTTGAGTACATAAAATGCATTTTTTAAAACTGAATTTCAATTTAAATTACGATTTTTCATTAATTTTTAATCAAGAAGCCTTGGAAAAATCGATTTGATCGTCTAATGTTTTAGTGTCTTCTCCTGGCCTGTTAAAAGATGCCCAAATCGTATTTTCAATCACATCTCAATTTTTTCAAATGAAACGGGAGTGGCTTACTAGCATATTTGGAAGAAGCATTTTTTTACGAATAATTTGGTACCACCGTATTTCATTCAAGTCAAATTGTCGTTATAAACCGCATGTTACAATTTCAAATAAACCATATGCGAAAATGTCAAAAGTTGACATATGATATGCCATTTTTTGCAGAGTGTCATTTTCTATCGAATAAATTAAAAAAAATCCGAAGGTTCCATTTAAAAATGATAATTTGTCATTTCCGGCGAAAAAGGAAGTGATCGAAAACAATTGAATACGTCAATCAATCCTAATTTATGTCATATACTAACAAACCAAATCTCGTCTTTCTAAATTAAAAAAATAAAAAGTTATAGGGGTGAGCCACTTTTGAGACGCACCCGGTATAAAAAAAACTAATTCAATAATAACATAAAGATATAGCAAATCAGGAAATAACTAAAAAAAGCTTCTGCAATTTATTTCAATATGTCAGAGACGAAACAGTCACATTTTCAGGCCCTGAAAACTTCCCTTAATTAAATCAGTTTACTACCACCGTTTACTACCCGTTTAATGGAAACGGTGAAAACTCCTGCAGACTCGATTGGCAAAAACGAATAAAGGAAATCGCATTAAGTTTCCACGTGCTCAATTCCGTTATATCGCTAACGAAGTGAATTGCGTGGAAAAACAGATAAAACCAAGTTGGTTATGTTGCACGAAACGTTGTTAAAAGGCTTATCAGAAAGAAAGACGGACCGAATTTTTGTTTAAACGATAACTGTTTATATAGTAGCTCAAAAAATACGTGTTGCAAAGAAAAAAAATACTCTTCAAAAAATCCCATAGGTATTTCGCTACTTGCACTGTAAGAAAACCTTCAAAGTTATTTTTAGGGTTCCGTACCCAAAGGGTAAAAACGGGAACCCTATTACTAAGACTTCGCTGTCCGTCCGTCCGTCTGTCACAAAGCTCTATCTTATGAACCGTTATTGCTAGGCAGATAAAATTTTTACAGATAATGTATCTATGTTGCCGCTATAAGAACAAATACTAAAAACAGAATTAAATAAATGTTTATAAATAAAAAAGTACTTTCACTAAACATTATCTTTTAAGTAAGAATTTTACATAGAATCTTTCAAGTCCTCGGTGGCCGCGTGGTTAAAGCGTTAGGACTTTACGCTGCTATGACGTTGGAGCCGTAGTAAGGCAGGTTTCAAATCCTAATCAAGGCGACTTTTTTTTAATCGTTTTTTTTTAATTTTTACATATTTTTACATATTTATTTTTACTTTTTACATATTTATTATTGATTAATACAATTCTTAGTAATGTGTTTCTTCGTTTTTTTAATTACTTATACGCGCATTCAAAATTTCAGCTAAATCGGAAAAAAGTTTATAATAATATAGTGTCTAATGTTGTATAGATAATGAATGGTACGGAACCCTTCGTGCGCGAGTCCGACTCGTACTTGACCAATTTTTTGTAAACACAGCTGGCTTTAATCCAACGGAGACCAACTTGTAAGCAGTGATTTACTAATAAACAAGAACTATTCAAGAACACTTCAGTTTTTTTTTCAACAGATACGTCTATAAAAACCGTTGACGTTCTGTTAAAATGACATTATATCAAGTTAAACTTCAAAATTAACAATTACTATCTGATAACAATTACTTAATGAAATAAAACCAACAATAAGAGATGGCCATACATCACTAACCTCTACAGATGCCTGAGCAATACATTTATTTATATTAGACTATATTAAAAATGGAAGACTACAACGGCGGTATCACTATAGGCGGTAAACAAATAACAAATTTAATGTACGCAGATGATCACTTATACTCGTATCCTCCGCTAGTGAATTAAAATCCATTATGCACAAATTAGAGGTGGTCAGCGATAGATATGGGTTAAAACTAAATAAAAGAAAAACAAAATTAATGATTATCGATCGAGAACCCACGAATACAACAGAAATAGCAGGTTTCGATGTTGTAGATCAATATACATATATATCTCGGCTCCTTAATATCAAACAAAGGAGGATGTGACGCAGAAATCAAAAGAAAACTGTGTATAGCACGTAATTTCATGACCAAACTCAATAAAATATGGAAAAATTCAGCCATTTCAATTAGCAACAAACTCAGACTACTAAGAGCCCTAATTTTGCCTATTGCCACTTATACCTCAGAGACCTGGACATTAAAGTTGGCAATGAAACGTAAAATCGATGCTTTTGAAATGTGGTGTTATAGACGGATGCTGCGAATACCGTACACAGCTCACCGTAACAAATATTTCAATACTCGAACAACTGAATATCGAATCTAGACTGTCGATATCAATAAATCAATCATACTTAAGATACTTTGGCCACATATCCAGGAACACCAATAGCCTAGAAAAACTAATTGTGGAGGGAAAATTGAACGGGAAACGTCCTAGAGGGAGATCTCCAAACCCTTGGGTGGACCAAATGAAGACGATAATAGGTTCTAGTCTGCACGAGGCCAGTACTGCTGCGCAAGACAGAACAACATGGGGAGACACAATAAATGCGATATCATAATGTCACCATACTCTTATAGAGTAATAGGAAGGAGGAGGAGGATATTAAAAATCCTCTTTTATGTTTCTAGTCTTTCGTAATAATTTTTGCGTTGTTAAAATCTACTTTGTACCCTCCGTTCCATGAATGCTGACAAATTTTAGATTCGCAAAAAACGTCCATCCTTAAATAATCTCTATGTTCTTTAATTCGAACATTTCAACGGTCTAGATGTTTCACCAATATAAATTTTATCACATAATAATTATACCATGTGATATAAATGCAGATGGGTACATACGTGATGTACTGCAACTGTTTTTTTGACGAAGCAGTGTACCTACTTTAAAAATGCCTTTATTTAAATAAATATTTATTTAAATAGCCTATTACATAAAAAACTGTACAAACTCATTAAATAAACTATTATTATTCACGCCTCGACAAGCATCATTAGCGTAAAAAATGTGTCATTTAAAAATTATCAATATTTTAGTTATTGTCTACCTAACATGTGAGTATTTAAATATTATATGGTTATGAACAAGACAAAATAGGTTATAAGAACAGAAATACATTTATGAATGTTTATTAATTTTTTATTATTATTTCTATATTTTTGTATCTTATTTTTGTTTTGCATTTCAATGAGATTTGAAAAACTATATTTAGTGATATTTTTAGTGACTTTAATTCTCTCCCATAACATTTAAAGTTCGAGATGTTTTGCTATGAAATTTGTTACAATAACATGATATTTGATTAAGATATACCGAGATAATATATAATATAATCATCATCATAGTGTCCAGCTTATTTAACAATTTCCAATTATGGTGTAGCTTGTAAATATACCTAGTATTGTCTATTGTTGTAACATTTTTTGTTTTTCTTTTCTGTCTCTTTAGATGTAGTAGGATTCAAAATATTGATCCGTTATCCAACTGACACAGTCCAATACGTGATTACAGTGGATAATCTCACATCCAATACAACAGTCCAAGCCTTGAAGGCCGATGCAGCACCCCGTTTCAATCGGACAGCTTCGAATTTTACCTTGACCTACAAAAATAATGCTTTGGAAAACAACCGCACAATCGGTTCCTATAGCATAATGGAAAGTTCTATACTTGTAGCTAGTTAAAGTTATATCAATAGCATACCAAATACAATTGATATATAGTATATAATCACAATACACCGAAACAGTTGACTTTTGCACTGAACATAGTTTTAATCATCTGCTGATGATGCTAACATAGTTGGCGAAACACGCGTCCAGTGCTAAAGTAAAGTGTTTTGGTGTATTCTGATGAATTAGTGTTTTATTTTGCTGTTGTAACACTAAAGGTTCCAACCCTGAACTGTAATCTTGATTTTGTATAAAAGTATATTTGCATTGTTAACGTAAAATAACTATCAACTATAAATGCTGTATATGTAGAAAAATATAGACACAAATATAGTATAATTGCAATTTGTGGGGCCTGGTCGTTTGGTTATTAGGATTTTCTTCCTGTGTCCCACGAATACTGACAAATCTTTGAAAATAAATAAAATAAAAGAATAAAATAAAATTAGTTAATAATAGTAGTATTAAAAAAACTCTTATTTTTCGTTTAGGGCTTCTTTCACAATAATTTTTGCGCTGTTAAAATATACTCTGGGAATGCTGAGAAATCTTAGATATGTGATATCGCCTTAAGCGAAAATCGCCTTTTCTTAAATAATCTTTATGTTCTTTAATTCTAACACTTAAAGGTCTAGATGTTTGGATTGGTTTAGTATGGGTTAAAAGGGATCTAAGTGTATTCTGTGTTTTGAAGGATGTTCGTATCTTATATTGTTTTCCTATCCTTCTTATTCATATATATTATTTATATATTTTTTTATATTCCGAAACGCCTCGTATGTGTGGAATTGTAAGTTGTATATATTATATATTATATATTATATATTATATATTATATATTATATATTATATATAAATATTATATATTATATATTATATATTATATATTATATATTATATATTATATATTATATATTATATATTATATATTATATATTATATATTATATATTATATATTATATATTATATATTATATATTATATATTATATATTATATATTATATATTATATATTATATATTATATATTATATATTATATATTATATATATTATATATTATATATTATATATTATATATTATATATTATATATTATATATTATATATTATATATTATATATTATATATTATATATTATATATTATATATTATATATTATATATTATATATTATATTATATATTATATATTATATATTATATATTATATATTATATTATATATTATATATTATATATTATATATTATATATTATATATTATATATTATATATTATATATTATATATTATATATTATATATTATATATTATATATTATATATTATATATTATATATTATATATTATATATTATATATTATATATTATATATTATATATTATATATTATATATTATATATTATATATTATATATTATATATTATATATTATATATTATATATTATATATTATATATTATATATTATATATTATATGTTATATATTATATATTATATATTATATATTATATATTATATATTATATATTATATGTTATATATTATATATTATATATTATATATTATATATTATATATTATATATTATATATTATATATTATATATTATATATTATATATTATATATTATATATTATACATTATACATTATATATTATATATTATTATATATTATATATTATATATTATATATTATATATGATATATTATATATTATATATTATATATTATATATTATTATATATTATATATTATATATTATATATTATATATTATATATTATATATTATATATTATATATTATATATTATATATTATATATTATATATTATATATTATATATTATATATTATATATTATATATTATATATTATATATTATATATTATATATTATATATTATATATTATATATTATATATTATAAATTATATATTATATATTGTTATCATTGTGTGTATTCTGCCTATGATTTGAGTTTGCATTTCATTTAATGGTTTTGTCAATAAAATATGGTGGATAGTTGTTTTATTACCTTACTAGTATTACAGTTATATGTTTTTCACACCATTTAATTAACATATCCACAAAACAAATAAAAATCTAAAAATCTTATGAGTATTAAAAATCCCTTTTACACTTTCATTTTCCCTTTTTTATTATTAGGCAGGCTTAAAGCGAGTAAACAGGAAATTTTACAGTCTTTTTATAAACCCTTACTTTTCCAGATATTTGTGCCTCTATCACAGAGACACAGCTGCGTACATACTAAAAAAAAATATGAAGTATAACTTTTTTATGTGTTAAATATAAAAAAATATGAGAATGTTTTACCTAGATATACAGTGTTACTGATAAAGTCCCTATCATATGGCACTTTTTATTTATTAATTTAGGTGAAATTTTAGTTCGGTGACAGTTTCTGCTTAAATTTAGATTCAAAATGCCAACCATCCGTCAAACGAACAGTTTGCAACTTGGAAAGTAGTAATAAGGTTAAAAAACATATGAGAAATATTTATTATATTTGTAAAGAAAAAGTATCTTCATTTGATAAAACCTAGAATGAAACATAAGAAAATTATATTTTTGAAAAACAAACATGTTTTTGCTACCAAGATTTTAATAATAAAAGTCATCCACGCTATCCTCGATGCATGAGAGTTTTATGAAAATTTCCAAATTTGCATAACACCATTATCGTATTTTTCGCCACTATTTTCGTCGGAAATAAAAAGAAAAAATTATCTATTATGAAAATTTTTCGGTAGACATTAATATATCAAATCTTTTCAAGGAAGATTCCTAAAGCTGGGTAATTAATATCCTTTTTTAGTGATGAGGCATTTTAATGAGTTGACGAGATCTAATAACATTCCGTTTAATAGAAAATATCCTGGAAAGACGGCGAAAGAGAAAATTAATGAAAATTCAGCGACGTATAACAGAAATAAAACAAATTTTTGTCGTCGAAATACTCCGTAAAATATTCTAATTATTGCTTTAGGTAAAACTGCAGAATTTATTGTATTTATGAAGCCGGAAATGCATTTTGCGACTTTTCAAGTTGAGAGAGATACGTTAAAATATTGAAACTAAAAAAATAATACGACAGGATCGGGCTAAGCCTTAGGCAGATTTTTGAAATATAATATATATTTCCTTCGGCCATACACCCGCTTTCCAAATTTCTTCGCTTCGGCCAAACCACCCCTGAGAGCGACTCGAACAGTACAGCATAATAGACTCTTAATAACGATCAGTTATGTAAAATTTTAATATTAAAGACAAAGTCAGTCCCAAGGAAGATATTTTATTTCGTAATTCGCCCTTGTCTACCATATCTTTTAAACATAGAAAAATTCATATTATTCAGACGGGTTCATAAATCTTTCTTCAAAATGTTTTATTCGCAAAGAAAAATAAACAAAACTAAATTATCCGAATGTCGATGTTTCCAAGAGACCGATTGTAACCGTAATACGATCCTTGTTTCAATAAAATTTCGCAAATATCAAAACGATACCGGCTGCCTTTGAGCAACTTTGATTACTCTCGACAAAAATATGCGACACAAAGAAACGAACGTCGCGTAGCTCGACCGGAAAGTCGTTTTTAAACAGCCTTTATAAGTAAATATCATTCTTCATTCAAAGGCTTCCCAGTTTTCAAAGCATTGTTTTACCGAGGTCTTTTCTTTCGTTTTCGCACTCCGTTTGCAAAATATAACTACAATTTTCTTCAGTTTTCCTTCGACTTTTTCACCTTTTGGAGTCTCATTTAGATTTATGTCTTCATTATGAAGTTTTTCTCAGGAATATTGTGTTCTGGCTACAGTCTATTTATTTTGATACTTTTCTATATTGATGTGGACAGATATTACAAGGTAGCTGTTGGACTATTCCACTGCAACTCCTCCAGCCTGATACCTGGAGACTGAACCTTCCATATAGTTCTTTGTCAATTACTTATTACTATTAGTATATAAAACTGTATACCCATAATAAGTACAGGGTGGCGCCTCTCATACGACGCTCCAAGGAGAACGGTAGTTTGTATCAAAATGAAATTTTGGGAGCATATTATAGGTTAACTAAATTTTTTTTATAAAAATATATAGATAGCATTTTATAAAAATATATAGAGTTATACAGGGTATCCCCAAAAAAAGTTAAACATCAAAGTGTTTTTTGTAATAGAACACCCTATATATTAATTGATTTTCGGATTCTATGAAAAAAATAAGGGTGAGTTTTAATAAAGAAGCATATGCCTAAAATGTAAGGATTTTGACATATTTCACATTTTGTGAAAATGAAGAGTAATTTTTAAATTTCAATAAGAACTACCTAAATTTTAATTTATCCCGTATAGCGTGATATTTATTTACAATAACCATTGTATGTTAAACCAAACTAAAATTTGACCCGAAAAGTTATACAGGGTGAGACAAAATTAATATGAAACATTGGTTACTTTTAAAAGCTTACTCCTTTATTTTAAACGGAACACCCAGTTTATTATTTCGGTGTTCAATGGGAAATTTAGTGCTTAGTTTTTACCAAGAACTTCCTGATTATTGCTTACTCTTTTGGCGTTGTTCTAGCGCTCATCCACAGAAGTTCAAGCAATTAAAACGATCCTTCAAGGCTCATAAAACCGCAAGATGTCGCCATGTAAAGTGTAACGCCTGAAATTATACTTGCTAAAGTTTGTGTTAAAGTGGACATAATAACAGTTAAATTACTTGAACGTAGGGGAAATCTTACATTTGTTAAAATCCTTGAAGTTTAGTAAAAGAAACCTTTTTACTAAAATATGATTTTATAAAAGTATTATTAACAAAATATATAATACTAAAATGTTTTTATAAAATTATTACTGACAAAAAGACAAGAAATACATTATGATAAAATGCAACTGGTTTGAATATTAGAGTAGTAAGTACAGGGTGAGTCAATGAGTAAAGTCCATTATCTTATTTGTTTGAAGGTTTATGAAAAAACGTTAAAAAAAATAAAAAGGAAAGTTATGGTACATATTTTAAATTATTAGAGT